CTTATATTTCCCGCAATATTGCGCGAAAACTACTAAAATTTTCAAACAAATATACATGACCTTAATGAAAGAACTGACAATGAAAAACAATTATTTTTTTTTGAAAGGAAAATCTCTATCTTTAATTCTGTACTTATTGGAATACGCCGTAAAAATACAAACTTTCACAATTTTCGAAAATTTAGAGATAACCGTGAAGTCGGAGTTATTAGACATAGGAAATGGTGAAGTTGCACTTGATATCTTGACAGGATTCATCACATTACCCTCAGATTTTTCTCAATTCACAGACTCCAAAGAGGAGCTTGTTCAACGTGTTTTTCAGTTCAATAACCATAATTGGTTGACTGAACGAGAAATATTAGCAGCGAAAAACATAGATACCAATGATATCAATAAGACCATTTAGAATTTTCTTCCTGGAGAGTTGTTTTCCTTCAAATCAGCTGACACAGTTATAAATCAGGATGACGTCAACTATCCCACAGACTTTATGAATTCACTGGATTTACTTGGACTACCACTTCACAATTTGCAATTGAAAGTAGGATGAGTTGTAATCACAATGCTTAACATTAATCAGCCTCAACTTTGCAATAGAACTAGATCAGCTGTGAGATCGCTAATAATTAACGTCATCTAGGCAACGATCATTAAAGAAAAATTCAAAGGAGAGGATGGTTTCATCCCGCGCGTACCGATGATTTCAACGAGTTTCCCATTCGATTTTAAACGTCTGCAATTTTCAGTGCGTCTTGATTTTGCGATTACTATAAATAATAAATCGCAAGCCCTGTTGTTAGAAGTTTGCGCAATCAACTTGGAGTTTCCCTGTTCAGCACATAGACAATTATATGTCGCGTGTTCTTACGTAGGAAAACCATCATCTTCGTATATTTACGCGCCGCAAAAAATAACAAAAAACATAGTTCTTGAGAAAGCTTTAAATTGATTCACTATATTGTAACTGTGTATTTAATGTAGATATTATATTAATTTGAATAATAAACTAGTTTTATTTAATAATCACAATTAATAGTTATATGACACAAACGGTTCTGACGGAAAGAGGTGTATGTACTTATTTGTTGACATAATTATTTCGGTATAAGGGATATTTACTCTCATGAATATATATATATATATATATATATATATATATATATATATATATACATACATAAAATTGGATGTTGATTTATACTAGAGCAATGAACTCTCACACCCATGTGACCTATCTCTGCGAAAGTTGGCATATCTATGAGTTGGTTTTTCTTTCACTTAGAAGGTTTATGTACTGTTGATTTTGTTGTAGTGTTCACTAGATGGCGCTGTAGAAAAAGATAGAGTATCATGTTATTTCAATTTCCTATTAAATTGCGCTCCACCTGGGCTTCATTGTTGCCGTGTGACACAGTGCCTGGCCAAGAAGGTCAGGACAGCGATGCGTGAAAGTAAGAGAGTGAGTGTGTGTGAGTGCGAGAGAGAGAGAGAGGAAGGGACAGACAGAGAGAAAGAGAGTCAGAGACAGACACACACAGAGGCGCAGAGAGAGATAGAGAGAAATAGAAATAGAGAGGAAGAGAGAGAGGGATAATACACATATTCAGAGACAGAGAGGGACAAGACAGGAAAGCAAACAGAAAGATACAGAGAAACAAAGACAAAAAGAGACAGAGAGATACATATAGAGGGACAGACAGAGACATAGACAGATAGAGGGAGACAGAAAAAGAGTGAAATTTAGAGAGAGAGAGAGTCTGGCAGAGACAGAGAGACACATGGAATGAAGCAGACTGAGGTAAATAAAGACTGATAGAGACATATAGAAATGCAGATGGAGACAGAGAAAGAAGAGGCAGATACAGAGGCAGAGAAAGATGAAGAGATAGACAGAGACAGAAAGACATATAGGGAGAGAGATAAAGACAGATACAGAGAGAGAGAGAGAGAGAGAGAGAGAGAGAGAGAGAGAGGCAAACAGAGACAGAGACGCAGAGAGAAAAAACAGAGAGAGAAAGATGAAGAGAGAGACACGGAGATACGGGGACAGAGACAGACTGACTGAGACAGGGACTGAGAAAGAGAGAGGACAGAGAAATGGGAAGGGAAGGAGAAAGAGGGAGATGGAGAGCAGGACGTCTGCTTGATCCTGCTAGTTTTAATTTATTCCTTGAAATTCACAATCACTTATGGTCATCATTTCCCTATTTTGTGATTAAATTGTATTATATATTGTTATTTCTACTCCTAAACTTGGCTTTTTTTATGTAACAAATATTTTAGTTTTTATGTTCAACTTGCCTTTTCGCGTTCCTCAGCAATCTTGTTCGACGTTTCTCGACATTCCATTTTCGCTTCCAACTCCTTACCTGGTATTATTAATAAATATGATGATTAATGTCAATCTTTACATTATTTCCACACGTAAAAACCGTAACATTGTAAATTTTGAGTCATTTGAGAATTATGATTTCCGTTAAATCCATCGTCTAGAATATGACTAGTTAAAGCACATATACAAAAGTTAAAACTATTGTTCTTTAAAGTACACTGAAATTGGTATTCGATGAGTTTTGTGCAATGTTTAGAATCCATTTCCCTTCCTCTCGTTTTCTTACTCTTGATTGTGCGATGTGAGATGTACACGCTCCCTCGTCTCTAAGTGCCCCCGCCTCCGGGCGCAACCGCTCATCTGCGCCGGGCGCGCGTGTATGGCATGCGCGGGGCGGGGCGGGGCGGCGGGCCGCGAGGACTGCTGGGAAATTAAGCTCTCCTTACGCCGCGCCGCCGTGGGTGTGGGTGGCGGGTGGGCCGCCTGCCCGAGCGCGTGACTCGCTGCCAGAGCCCGCGTGGGGCGAAGACGGCGCCGCCGGAGGCAGAGGGCGAGATGCTGCGCGGAGGACGCGCCGGCCCCAGGGGCGGGCCCGGTCATTACCGCGACGCGCGGCAAAGCCGTCTGCGCGGATCAAAGCCGCCCCATGAATATCAGATAGTTGCCGCCGTCGCCGCCAGCAGCCGTCGCGAGGCCACTTTGCCGGCCGGCTCCTTCGCCCGAGGTCACCCACGTGACCTCGGCCAGGACGTGACGACATAAGGGCGGGCGGTTCGCGGCCCTCCGACCCTCGAGGTGTTTTCTGGAAGGGGATGCCCGGGGCGGGCGAAGGGCCGGTAGCATTTGGGTGTTGCGCTGCAGCTGGCGGCAAACACGAACGCCCAAGTCGAAAGGACCCCTCGCGGCGTTAACATTAAGTTTGTGAGGGAGGAGGCATTTGTATATATATTAGCATCCTGTCATAACTTTGTCAATAGAAATAAAATTGGAGCGTCTGATTTAAAAAACCTTTCTTTATATAATATCATATGCTTATTTAGATGAAATGAAGACCAATTAATTTGTTTATATGAATCAGTATGTCTGACCAGTATAATCTCTAAAACGGCTGAACAGAGTTCGTCTCTGTATTAACTAAAAGGTTCATTTTGTAGGGTAAATTTAGGCTGCTTTCTTTAAATTAAAATGTTATGTGTTGGTTATAAAAGATGTTTGTTTTTACTCAAATCTTATGCTTTATTTCAATCTTACTGAAATATTGCGAAAGAGAACCTCCTAATAGAATAAAAGAGGTGACTGCATGATTCTCTTAAATATTACTTCTGTATGTCCTTCCTATCTTTTAGACCAAAATGTGGCATGGGAGTGGTCTATCAATTTTTGCAAATATTTCAAAGAGGGTAAGGAAATCTTTAAAAGAACTTTAAAATGATGTGCAGCGCAGGTCACGGCACGTCAGAGCAGGAATACACTTCAGATAGAAGTATTTTCTTTCCTAATAGAATAACGTGATAAATAAATACCCAGGTAACACAAAGCGCAGAAACAACTGTGATGTGTAACTAAATTTGAATACAAATGTTACATGATACATTATCTAATATTTTACAGAGAGTGAACATCACATCTTAAAACAGAAAACGTAGATAAATATGAGTCTTTTTGGAAAAAACCCCATCCCCGACCGGGAATTACTCTTTAATACAATATTAAAGGCGACAGATTTTCGTAACATTTGTTCACGAGATGTGCATTGTGCGTTGTAGGAACACGCTCCCTCGCAGAGAGATTGAACTCTGAACTCCCCTATAAAGTGATATTATTGAAAATATAAAATATTATTTACTAAGATGCGTCGTAAATCATCTGAAAAACCGTTTTCTTGAAGCCACGATTTCAATGCAAAATAAATGTCTGCCTTATAGTTTCTTCGTGAATTAATGATAGAACGCAATATCCCTTATTAGAGTTTGGGAAATAGTGTTTGATACACTGTAACGAGTCAATTGAAGAAAGATATCAAATTATAAGTACTTTTAACTTGAATTTAACATTTTAAGTGTCATTGCGACCAGGAAGATAATTTCATACGTTCCAATAAATTCAATGACAATTTCAGATGTGTAATGTCAAGTACAGACATTAATAAAATAAATAACAAGTATTTAGTTAAAAATAAGTTATACATCGTTCAAATTAATAAGTTTCAGAATTTTAGAAGTGTGTCTTTTAACGCATACTTTGTACTTTATAGATAAAGAAACCGTATAAGATTTTCATATTTTAATTAAATGTTTCTTGTAGTAAAAATCGCATAAAGTTATTCCTTACTATGAGTAAATACCTATAGACTAATAAATATGCATTCTTTCTAGGAAAAAAGCTTTGTGGAAACCTGCCTTATATTTTCTACTCATATGATGTGTATGTTGACATTATCCACATTGAGAAAGCCTTATTCTTAACTTCCTTATTCCCTTTATATTTTCAGCTGTTGAGATGCATTACGTTATCGTACAAAACAGAAAGGATTTGTGTTTGTAAACATTTCTTTGCATGCGTATTAAACAATTATGTTTGTCATATATCAGATATTCTCTTAAATGTTACAAAATATTGACATAGTGATTAAAAACCCAAAAATTTAATATAAATATTAAGTTAGTATTTGTAGTAATTATTGTTGTAAAGAAATAAACTGTGAATAGAAAAAACACAATTTTCGTTTTTCTTTATTTTATTTCAACACTTGTGTGACGTGCATCACAGGATGTTACAAGTACTATTTATTCTCAGTACTACTACCAACACTTCAAAAGCAGAAACAATCACTGCTTAGTAGTACGAAGCCCGTTTGAATGTAAGCGCTTTTAATTGCTCAGTGTATAGCGACAGTTTTTATTTATTGAAGGAAAGATTAATGCTTAGCACACTACAATACGAAGAATGATCTCTTAAAATTATTGAAGTAAGATAATATCCCATTGGATGTCTTTTACATTGAACATTTTTGAAACATATGATTAAACAACTTTGTAGTCAAGAAAATCAACTCAGGTACGAAGAAGGAAAGCCTTAGTTACTCAAGCGAAAATTATTCCAATTTTTTCGCTGTTATTTGAGCTTAATATTTAAATTAGAAAATTATATTTATATCTCATCACACATTAACACAATACTTGAAATTGTTGACTTCGGAAAGTATTTTATAACTATATGACATTGCTAATTATACATAAGATTACGATTAGAACTTTACGATTAAGATAACATCGGTTTTTTAGAATATAAAGTGTTTCAGTTGAGAAGAGTGTAAGTAATCTGCCAATAATGTTTAAAACATATAGTGCGAGGTGAACAGAGTGCAGGGAAGATGTTTGAAGAGAACACTGAATTGAATTCGTTCAGCTCTCAGGAAGCAAAACACGGTTGATAACGTGAATGACACCATTGGTAGTTACGAGATCAGATCGAATAACTGTTGCTTCATCAACCTGTGGAAAAAATTAAAACAAAATTTTAGATAGAGTTATTCAAAATAACAGAGCTTTGTGGCCAGCAATTTTGGGGACAGACCTTTTATTTTTGATAAAGTGAGCTTCACACAATTCTACATAAGACCATCGCCCGTTTCGAAGGAGCATTCTTATGAAATTGCAATGATTATGATGGCTGATGACGATTATCAGTTTGATACTTAGCTTCCAAGTCTAGATGAAGCAGAAGCTTCAATTCTTCCATGCCTTATTCTTTCTTGGAGTGACGTTCATCACAGTGATGTTTTTAATTGCCATCCACTGCATAAAGGAGGGTGGGTGATCATAAGGATTTGTAATGATGATGAACGAATGATTGGAACAGTACGAGGGATCAAATGTGGTACTCGTACATGATGTTTCGAGAAGCCAACTACACTATTATCACATAATGAAACCTCACCATCAACACGGGAGCAGAAACGTCCCGAACCCGCGGCTTTCGACGTCATCTCTTTCGCCTGTGCGTAGCGGCCTGCAGAAGGTATTCTTTTTCTTAAGTTATTCCTCAACTAAATTTTAATATGTAGGCAATATTCCAATTTAAATTGAAGTGCAGTTATGAAAGTTATGAAGTGACATACCACATTATAATTTTATTAATAAGACCTTCAAAATCTACAAGTTGCAAGATACTAGTATTTGCAAAAAATGTAAAGTGGCCTGTGAAAATCCAAAAATGCGCGTTCTTCTTTTCCTTATTATCATCGTCTTCATCGTCATCGTTATGATGACCACAATATGTAGCGAAGATTGATGTTTCCGGTTTTTTCAAATTTAAACATTTCCGTTCCCTATTTACCTCGCCTCCTTTTCTCGTTCCCGCAAAAATAGAAACTGCTCTTCTAGTCATTTTACCGGATCCGAATACAGTTATTACGCTGCCAGATCGTTTTCTCGCCTAGCTAGTTTTGTGAACGACCATGCTCTAAATGATAGTCTTCTTGCAGCAACATGCAAAGGAGTTGCAATTTTTTAACACGCGCTGTAACACACGAGGCATAGCTCAATTCTCGCCAGAGCGGCACCCTGAAGTTGAGCAGCCCTGATTTAATGTACCGTGCGCTCACCTTGATCTTTCCGGAGGCCGCACGCGTGATGTGCACGTCTCCCTGACGCGTGCGAACGCCGTGCCGCAGCTCGGGCGTCCAGGCGGCCGACGACACCATCCCCTCACACACATGATGGCGCAGCGTCTGAAACGCCCCCCGTCACGCATCAGCAATGTAAACACTCCTGACAGGCTTCTCTCTGGAGCAATAACAATCTTTTAGAGTAGGATAATAGTGTGAAACATTTCCATTTTCCGAACATTTTAAATGTTTTTATATCTATGTATGAAAATAATTTTAATTATTATTAATAATTGCACTAGTGAAGTTAATGTAAAATAAAGAATAAAAGATGTTTTAGGACAGTTAAACGTATTAAAGTATTCTTAATAATTAATAATTCTAATAAGTAAAATTAGAATATTAAAGAATTATTCATGTAAAATTAAAATAAACGTTGTCAAACATACAAGCAGATTTTCATTTCTGTATTCTGTTGGATCATTCATGGTATTCTTTTCGGGTATTACATAATCCGTGTAGAACGCTCTCCATGGCATCTACACTTTAAGTTATACGTTTCGGCGTTTAGTACAAATGTACCTTTACATATTCCGTTTCATAAAGACGTATTCTGTTAGAACAAAGTATTTTTAGGATTCAGTAGATATTTTAGGGCTGTTGCTAATGATATTACAAATAACTTAAGCACATTCGAAATAACATATTTAATTGCATTTTGTAATACATTTCAGGATATTGTTCGCTACGAAATTTTGTATTTGTAGCGTAAGAATATTTTACTAATCTAATGATACTAAAATCCGAAACTGTTGCCATAGTTTTAACATCATATCATCAATTTTTTATGGATCATTTGATACGCTTATGTTTATTATGTTGAAGTCAGTATTGCTTTTGCTTGAACATATTTCATTCGTTCATTACTTTACGGTCAGTGCACATCAACATGTTGGGTACTTCATAAAGAGGTCTGGATTACGCACAAGTTCAGCACAGCATGGCGTTCATTACAATTTAGTACGCTTTTAGACGATTTATTGGTTATCGCTTCATCGGTCTGAAATTGTTGGAGTAAGAATGACTTTTCAAATAGACTAGAATTAAAATCATACAAACATGGGGGTGGAAAGGGAATCGAAATGTACCATCGATCTATTGCACTTGTGCACGCGTTTTGAAAAGTATGGCGAACAATAAAATGTCAATGTGTGAAATTTACAAGGCATTTGAACCTTGCTTAAAATATAAATGCATACGTGCTTTCAGATCATCAAAACGTTAATTTTAAAGTTTCGACTACTTTTAAAATCAACATGTTCTACTCTGGAAATCCATCTTAAAATTCAGCACCAGTTCTGAGATAATTTGTGGAAGTAATGACTGTTTAGAGAATGCAAAAGATAAGAGTTTTTCGTAAGATATATTACTTTTGTATATTTTTCAGTGACATTGCAAAATTCACGTATTTAATAAATGTTCATTTATAAAGAAAGGTATTTATAAAAAAAGTACTGCTCTGAAATTTTTGTTTCCACATCTAGGAATGTTTATTAAATTGAATGAAATATAAAGCTTTTAATTTAACATTACATTAACATCTTGAGTACAAAATTTGTACATTCTCGCACTAATTTCATATTGTAAAATTGCGCCAGAAAGCGGAGAATTTTCGGTACAAAAGCTCTTATTTCCAGGCCCTGGTAAGGAAAAATTAGATACATCTTGTAAGTAAATTACATCCTCTAAAACGTTGTGTAATCAAAATCCATGTTTTGTAGGTTCTTAATACAGAGAATTGATTGACGGCAAAGCGTCTGTTTGTCCGTCTATCCGTGCATCTACCGGTTAGTCAGTCTGTCAGTCGGTCTGTCTGTCTGTGGTGAACGCTGAGGCCTTAATCGTTTAGTCTATTTTCTCCAAAGCTGGTAATCTCCCATCAATTTAAGCAACTCAAGCCCCTGCGAGTATGTTCGTATGTACTTGGCGCGACCGTCCGTGAACAGGCTCAAGCCCATCGGCGACGAACCTGCCTCGCGGTCATGGGTTAAGGGGATACGTGTGGTTAGCACGTAGACATCCCCATACCGTATTCCGCTCTTCTCAACCTGAGAAGTGAATTTTCTCATCACACAACAACATATACTGGGACATTGCAAGGGAAACGCATACTATAGTGTTGGCTCGAACGAGAATCGAAACCGGAGTCGCGTAGTGGAAAGTGAGCATGCTGACCTAGAGCTAGCCACGAGCCCGTGCGAGTATAAAACAGGTATTTTAATTTTTGGGCATATTTTCTCAAAAATGGCGCGCGAACTCTGTTATTTATTACACTATTTTGCGTTGTCGTCGGAGACCATGAACAACATTAATAGAAAGGTGCATGTCTCATTATCGTTAAAATCTATAATTTTTAGAAAATTGAAAAAAAATTAATTTTTCCGCCGTCTTCCTACAACTACAAATTTGATGATAGGGATTTATTTCCTAAATGAAATCTGTTCTCTGAAGATATTTTGAAATAAAGATATCAACGATTTTTTGAAAATAAGAGTAGTTTTCATGTATTAACGCGTGAAAAAGAATTTTTCATTATTTAAATTATTTTTTTTCTCAAAATCAGCTCCAACGTTTTTCTTCACTTTTTCCACATAGAGAACGAGGAATGTTTAAAAGACAAAAAACGCATGTCTCATTTATGTTGATTTATCTGAATATTTGAAAATTACAAATTTAGAAATAAGGCGAGGAAGTGTGTGACGTTGTCGCACCACTAGTTTATTCTTGCTCTAAACTACAATACAAGCACACTTGGACGACAGTAAATACTTGAAAATATGGTTGTGGTTCATGGCCTGTTTGTTAAGGTTCCAGCATTCGCTTGTTATTGATCAAAGAAATCAAGGAAAGCTACCGAAAGCAGCCGACCGCTAGAATTCTTCTCCACAAAGCGACGAATCCGACCTGGCTGCCTGACTAGCGTGAATAATCCTCCAACGCTCAGACTGAACCATCGGGGCCTCAAGCTCAGCGACGCTGTCGAGGCAACGACTTGTTGCCTCTCAGCTGCCTCTGCCTGCCTGGGGCTGCCGAAGGCGCGCGGAGGGCCACGATCTAATATTAATCACAAATTTTCTTCATACGTGAGCTTCGTAGTCCTTGCACAGCGTTGAATATTACGGCTCGTGGGGATACTTAGGTCCGATTCCGAACGGCAAGTACATTTCACCTTGCTGCCGATAACTACACCTTACCTTCAAAATAATCTTATTCCTTGTGCCACGCTTTAGCACGGTAAGTTCTTACTAGAAGTTGGTACGCCCTCTGAAGCCGTGACGTAAGCAATGCCCTCCTCTCCGCGCAGCCCCACTGTGGAAGAAGACGCGCGCGTGTGGTACCTTCTTGAGGAACTGCGGGTCCTCCATGAGGCGCGTGAGGCGCTGCTCGCCCAGGCGCTCGAAGGCGGCGTCGGTGGGCGCGAACAGCGTCAGCGACTGCTCCTCCTCCGCTGCCACGCCCACGCCCACGCCCACGCCCGCGTCCAGCCCGGCGCCGGCGTCCTCGCCCGGCAGCCACACCACGTCCGCCCCGCCGCGCTCCAGCGCAGACAGGAAGATGCTGCCAACACACCGCGACCACGTGGAACGCGCGCTTTGCGGCACTCGGGGGAGGACTTAGAACGCGGAGAATGGACCAGGAGGCAAGGCGTTGCAGGATCCGAGGGGGGCTTGGATTGATTTGTAGATGAAAAAGAGGATTACATTCCAGGACATCAGACATGGAACTAGAAATGTGCACAATGCTCCGAAGAAAATCAGTTAATATTTGGATTGGATTACATTAGTTTAAGTTTGGAACCCGGAAAAATTACACGTCTTTATCTTCCAGAGTCTACAAATAATGGCATAAATAAGATTCCTTTCGTAATAAAAGAAATTATTGTGTTGCCATTCTCGCGTATTGACATTTTTAGGAATACATATTGTCCACGTTTAGTCGCCAATGGAGGAATGATTTACGATATATTTGTGCTCAGAGTATGACTCTCGGAATTAAAATGTTAAAAACATGTATTATGTTCGTGTTTTTCAAAATATTGCATCTCAAAGAAGCTTACAAATAACTGTTGACGCAAAACTGTTTCACGATCAGCAAATATGAATATCTGAATTGTTTTTTAAGATCCAGTAAACTCGAGATCTTCCGTTTATATCTTAACTTGTTTCAATGAAATAATTAGGTTGATCGTGTATTATATTCTCAGTGATCAGACCCAAAACAATGACATTCTAGATAACAAGTTCCCTTTTTTTGTGATTTTTCCTTTCCCTCGCAGTACTTTCTCCTCCTCCGTGACTCTCTCTCGGAACGCGACGCGCAGCTCAAAGACGCTGTTGTGGGTGGGGATGGGGGGTGGAAGCGCTTACCTGAAGTTGCCGTCGCGCCGCAACAGGTCGCGCGTGGAGAGCTCCGCGGGCTCGAGCACGCGGTCGATGACGTGCACGCAGCCGTTGAGCCCCTCCACGTCGCGCTCCTCCACCAGCGCAGCCTCCACGCCGGGCCCGCGCCGGTACACCTGCTCGCACGCACGCGCGCGCGCTCTCCGTCAGCGCATTCGGCCCAGGCGCGCCGGGCGGCCGGCGAAAGCGGGAGGAAGCGGGCGAGAGGGCGATGACATGCACATCCGCGCGCGCCTTACCTGCTTACCGGACACGCCCCTAGAGTACCATACGTATCAATGCTGTGAAATAAAGTGAGGCAGTGTTCCGAAACATTTTCAGAGACAGGTGAAGGCTGGAAAAGGGAGACGGCCGGGTAGGAGGCTGATCTCCACACCGAGAAGAGTGATACTGACTGGCAAAGAGTAAATAACGCAGAACCGCGCTCTACCTGTTAGCGCCTTAAGCCTCACGTGCCTACGTGACACGCGCCTTGAACTCACTAGGTAATACAGCCACACAAAAAAATTGTGTACGTGTTTGGTGATCAGACCATGTGTTCTATATGTTTTTGGGATTGCTAAATCCGAATCCGATGTCCATTTTACTTCATCACTTCAGGTTTTTGATATAATCTCAAAAAATATAAAAGATGAAAGATATTTCTAACCGAGGGGAAAGACCATAGATTTGGTTTGGTTACCTAGATTTGGGATCGACGATCACGAACACAAAATATTTTTTATGTGACTGTGTAATCAATGTTGCAAAACACTGTGAAGAAGTGTTTCTAAATATTTGCAGAGATAGAAGAAGACTGACGAAGGGAGAGGGACTAATAAGAGACTGATCTTGAGACAGAGGAGACTGAGAGTAGCAAGCAAGAGGAACTGCAAGTTACGAGCACCTTCAGCCTCACGTACCTGTGTGACATGCCCATAGTACTCACTTGTTATGTATGTAGAGAAACAATATAAGGTAGGGTTCGTAAAAAATTTCAGAGACAGAAGAAGAGAGAGAAGGAGGAAGGGAGCCAGAGGCTGTTCTTGAAACAGAGATGATAGGGGGAGGCAGGGAAAGAGAGAAGAGATAGAGAACCAAGCGCTCCCTCTCAGCGCCGCGCGTGCTTACGTGACGTGCCCCTGGTCCTGGGTGTCGATGTTGAAAAAACAGAACTAAGCAATTATTCCTACATATTTTCAGAGTAAGAAGGAGACATAAATTGAAAGGAGCAAAATCAAGAAACTGAAAGGATGCAAAATCAGAAAGAGATAGGAAGAGAGCGGCAGAGAGACAGCTCTCTGTCATCACTTTTCGCCTAGTAGCTCCTGTTGTGTCAATGTTACGAAATACTGAATATGGATTGACTCTTAACACCTTCAGCTGTTGTGGCAAATTATCCAAATAAAAGATTTCTGTCTCGGGAAGCGTCAGATTATTGTTTTGTGGAGTGGCAGCGCAGTCCGTTCAATTAATTACTTAATGCAACATTCTGTGGAGTTTGGTCAGAAGATCATCTCCAAAATCAATGTTTCATTGCCATTTAAAAAATCATAAATCCAGAATACATGTACAAAAATGCAAATATGATACGTTGTTGAGTAGTTTAACTCTAATCAATCGTGTGTGTATTTATCCCACGTATAAATAATTATTATTAGTAAGAAAAGTATATAGTATTGACAAAATGCTGTTAGACGGTCAGAACGTGATAACTTTCAAGTTTTTTTCAATCTTTCTATTAAGCCACAATTTAAAAACAATGACACCATTATATACGAAAGTAAGATAAGCCATCATCATTGTAGGAAATAGTGCGGAAATTATATTTGCATCATAATAATAGATTTGAGGCGTTGTCGTATGTTTTAATTTCGCAAAAAGCATTTTTGTCACATTGTAGTCATCTTCAGTGCTACAAAAAGTAATAGCAATATATTCAAATTACAAACAAAATATAATCTCTTGCAGAACATTATTATAAATTACAATTTCACACAAATGTTCATTTTCGTCTAATGCTAGTTTTGGAATATCACAGCGGAATCGCTACCACACAAACGTCCTCTACTTTTCATCAGCAAATTATGTGATGTCGAGGACGGCACTGTCTCAACTGGAAAAGTGGAAAGTTGTTATAAAATGCTCGCATCTCTACGAGTACATTAGATGTCTGAGAAGTCAATTCTATCTCCAAATATTGATATATTAGGAGGATGGCTGATATTACTTGAAATCATCGTGATACTTTGAAACCCCATTTGAAACATCATGTACTACTCTGAAAGGAATGTGTAATTGTACAGGTCAGAGTAAAGCAGAAGAAATATGGGACGGCGTTAGTTTGGAAGAATATTTGACTTACAATTACGAATGAATATCTCCGATCAAGAATGTAGTAAAAGTATATAAAAAGCGGTAGACTAAACTATGTGTCATTTTACAAAATTTGTGTCTCGCGAATAGCTATCGAATGTGAAAATCATAGTAACAACGTTAAGCAATATGTTAAACCCTTGTAAAATATTGAAGAGGGATTCGCCACATGCTGTTATGACTCGCACAATCAATAAAAAAAACTCATTTAAGAGGTAGAAAAGTTGTGATCGTTGTATGAGTAACTTTTTCTGTCTAGGAGAAAACCGCAGCATAGTGACCGGAACATGTATTCTTTAAGGAATTCACAAACTAAGAAATACGTGAAGAAAAGAGGACAATGACGTTTTGAGTATTTTTAAAATGTAAAAACAAGATATTCTCCTACTAGTGAGAGAAGAGTAGCTAAATAGAAATAATTATCTTCGCCAGTCTAATTGCTTTACAGAAGTAAATGGACGGGGGACGGTCAATAATTTTGAATTTAGAGCCATGAAATGGTTTCATCTGAATTTTCAAATAAGTATTTAATATAAAAATGTTTTTAAACTCTGTGCTTTAGTAGTTTCTCGTGCAACGAGAAAGATTGGTTTTATTTTATTTAAATTTTAATACTCATTTCTTCGAGATTGTTAAAAACAAAAATAACAAAAATAAACGTTTCTGTGAAAAAAGTACTTTTTGTGTAAGTCAACTCGCCTTCGGAAGCCTTCACTACCCTAGGTCCCTTGCCTGCTAGCTTGGTAAATCCCAAGAAGCCCAGGCACTTGCTTCAGGCAAGGGGTGTCACCTGGCTTCGCGCAAATCTCAAAACGTACTCATAATGGAACTGATTGAGATAGAATTACTTTAAAATTTACTTCCAAATTATTAATAGCAATACAATATTTTTTTCATATTTATGTGCTAATTGTTCATATTTAAAGGCATGGTAGGTAGAGCTACAATATCATCCCACTACACTATTATTTCTCACTCACGTATTGAAGTGTTTTTGTTGTTGTTTTTGTGTTTGTTGTTGTTTTTGTGGTAAGCGTCACAATTATTTCTAAGCACAGGCGTGGGAAGAGATTTTGCAAAGGTTAGGAGTAGATTGATAGGCTCTTTGCTGATGTCTGAAAGACAATAATGAGATAATGTGGGGAAAATTATGATGAGATATTAATGATTAGGAATGAGATGATGGATCCGATGAGATACGAGGTAGTGTGAGAAGTCAACTCCATACACGCACATGGTGGAAGCCCCATACCTTGGGAGGAATTTAAATTTTATCATTCGTCCCAGCATTCCAAGCCCTTGCGGCAGACTTTTGTGGAAATACATTCATTAAAGTAAAAAACATACGAAATTTATACATTTTACAGAAAGAAAATATTATCTTACTGGTAGTTCAAATATTGTTTTCTAAATTAACAACAAAATTGTGCAAATGCCTTGAAATGATGCGTGATTCACCAAGTTCTTTGGTGAAAAAAATAATAAAATGTGTAATTTCGTATGTTTTTCAAACCAATCATATGGTGTTTTGAATATACGTTTTATTAATTTAGTTTGTATTTCATAATTATGTTAGTTCAGGAAGTTGTGATGGAGAATGGCAATAAAAACAGGTGAAAATACGTCATGAAAGGAGTGAAATATAAATAGGATAAATGAACATGAGGATATGTAACAGGAGAATTGTGACAACTTCAATAAATTCGTGAATTATTATCTACAATGCTATCTACAATGTTATCATAAATTGGTTGCTTAAGTAAATGATGTAGACGACTTTACAACTTGAACGTATAAGTCGTTGTTCACTGAAACCAGATTAGATGGGGGCATAAGAGAGTGGTTTCCTGTCTCTACAAATTTGGTTGGGCGAGCCACGCCTTCACATCGGATCCTTCTCACAGGCGCGGCCTGGAGAGATTCGTTGTCCTGCGCGTGGCGCGGTGCAACGGACGGAAGGAATGCGATACGCGTGTAGGAGAAGGGCGAAGGAGAGTGAACGTGGAATAAGGAGAGTTCCGGCCGGCGAAGGACATTATCGCAGCGATCTCAGATATTGTATTGATCGTCAAAGAAATCCTCCGAATGTCGCAAGAAGAATATATGGAAGTCATGTGATTCAACATACAAATTTTTGAATCATTCTTTGCAAAAGCAAAGTCTCAAAATGTGTTTAAAGTAAAATTGCATTCTAAAAGTTATTAAAACTTGGCATCATTTTTTAAACATTTTTTTATTCGGAACTAGAGAAGCCTCTTTTTTGCAAGCAGTACAAGAGATAATTTTTAAATTAAAATGTGAATGATGTAAAAGTTACTAAAACATAAAATTCATTAAATCATTCAAATAGAAAAAATGACTGCTTGATGCTAAGCTCACAATAGAAGGTAATATTCATACGAGATCCTTTTTTTCTCAGAACGCCATTTTCATAACGTCGGATTTACATTGCAAAATATCCGTTGGAGCTCAGGGTTTAATGGGCAGACGCGAGGAAATCGAGACTCGCAGAAGTCAACGCGACATGAAAATGGGTCAAAGTGAGGTAAAATGAGATGGCAATGCCGTACGGAACCAAGAGGGTATACAGCTGTTTTAAACTCGGCAGGCAGGATGGAAGAGGCGGCGAAGAAAGTACAAAACGCTCGAAGGGACGGCGCTAAGCTTGGGTAGACTAATATATGAAATGAAATATTTATATTGTACTCTTTATGGTGTAAGGAAGAGACAAGACTAACACGTGGATTCGACATAGAATAGATATGATGAGCTGATGAGGGTAACACAATTCAGAAAGAGACACAACTGACAAATCTGAACCACGAACATCGTCGCTCAACTAAATATGAGAAGAAGAGAAGAGGAGAGTTTAATGATGACCGGTGAAGAGGATGTTATCGAAGCGAAAAGAGAACAGAGAATCACCAAAATATACTGAATCTCTGATGCGGAGAGAGAAACAGAGAGAAACAGAGAGAAAGACAGGCAGAAAGGGAGAGAGCAGCATGCGAGCAGACAGGATCAGTGATCATATATATATATATATATATATATATATATATATATATATATATATATATATATATATATATCCAAAAGCACAAACAGATTCTGAAGACTGGTTACCTATATTGAACACTTAATATAAAAAAATATTGTCTATAATACCCACCTGTAATGCCACTGGAATAAACAGTTTAAAAACTAAAAAGGATGTGGAAAGCAAGAACAGATGCGACAGAAACAGTCGAGGGCAAGAGTGAAAATACAAAGGCTAAGAAAACAAGAGAGTCTGATGTTGAATGTGTGAGAGAGGAAAAGAGACCGGTGTAGAATGGAATGTAGAGAGGGGCGATGTGAAACGTAGGTTCCCCTGATGAGGGAGAGGGATAGAGAGTGAGAGACGGATTTAGAGTGAAAGAGAGAGAGACAGACAGGCAGACAGACAAACCGACAGAGAGAGGGGCGTACGATCTCTTGGTGGGAGAGAGGGAAAGAGAGACTTATGTAAAGCGGAAGACAGAGAGAGAGAGAGAGAGAGAGAGACGTAGGCTCGCCTGGAATCGTAGGTGGATGTGAAAGAGAGAGGGCGAGCAAGAAAGCTGTAGACTGCGCGAGAGGGAGAGAGAGGGGCGTAGGCTGACCTGGAGTCGCAGGCGGTGGCGCTCGTCCAGCGACATGACGGCCTGGCCCGCCGCCACGGACGCCCACGCCACGCGGCCCGCTGTCGCGTGCAGCATGACGAAGCCGCGCGCCGCCTCGCGGTTGGAGCGCAGCGTCCGCAGGCGCGCCTCCGGGAGCTCTGCGCAGCGCGCGGCGCCACACTCGGCTCAGGACCCTCACTCAGCCTCCTTCCACTAGCAGGTTTTTACTTTCTCGCCTTACGACGATCTTCGTACGAAGAGAAAGTTACGTAATCGTGCGCCGGAAAACGGCGATAGAAAAATTCTTATTGCCAGACTCTGGTAAAGAAAAAGTGAATAAATCCTTTTTCTTAATACCAAAGTCTTCTATTTCTTGATATTACTTTACCTGTTCTGTAGTATAAAGAGAACAAGCATTGAAATAATCGCAACAATACGGTCTCGAATTTTTGGTCATAAAAAATGTTATCATAAAAAAGGTTCATTTGACTCTTAACTCCGCATACACATCGGAATTAAAGTATATTATTTTTTTCCAAAGATCGTTAATATTGCTGCAGATAGAGAAGATATTCAGGCAATTTAGAACTCGATAATCAGGATGTCTTTCGAGATGGAAGTATGTGTCACGCATATCTCTGTCAGATAGGAATCTTTTGAGCTCAGACTTAGAACATTCGTCATGAGTAAGATGTGAGTGTGCTGTTCCACAAATCAACAATATTTTTTTGGGAGAATACTTTACATGTAGCCCCTATTACATTGTCATTTTTTTCTGAACAACGGGTTCTTTCCACTGGTGTGCCGGTTAGAAATACATGTTACTCTCTGATATATCCTTTCCCATTTTTATTCTTATATTCTCTTTTTTTATTTCTTCAAACCCTTTTTTACTCACTACGGTTTTAATTTTACAGCTCTCTCAAAGTTGAATGTTTCCATTATACTTAAAACATTTTATACTCATTATTTCACTATGTAGCTTTTACTTATTTTTACAAAGAAAGGCTTCTATACTCATTTCAATATTTCCGTATATTTGTAAGTATCTGTTTTTGTAACTGTGGTCGCCAATGACCTAGTCGTTTCTAAGGTGACCTTAAATAATTTAAAAGAAAAGAAAGAATTTGAACTTACGTTCTTTTTTACGAAGAAATACACTCTAAAACCTGACTTTCTTTCGTTAAACTACTTAGTGAATACTTATTAACTATTTTTGATAACTTGTTCAAGCTAATATGAAGAACACGAAAATTAAATTTCTAATACACTCTGTTATTTATACAAGGTTAAATTATTTTCTATATACTAATTTCGTAGCTTCCTAAGATTTTTAACCGTAGGAGTGTTCCTCCTATCACGTACTTATATTTTCTTCTATACACATATCTATATTCTAGAAGCTAGATAAAAATGTATATCACAATTCTGAAATTATGAACAGTAATACATATAATTTTCGGGGAGATTTTTTGAAACGCCGAACAAGCTGCAACGTTTATTGCAATTATCCATATTTACCTCACGTGCCTGAACATTTGTAGCGAAAGATTTTGTACAAAGGCTACCTTGGGTTTTGGCCTCCTTTGGTGAGTCATTCACCCACAGACAGATACTGTGTTTTGGTCAGTCCCTCCCTCTGTTGTTCGCGACCGCGTGGGTTCCAAGGACACATAGGAGTGGCCCGCCAGTCGAAGAGCGTGGCTATAAATTAATCTAATTAAATCGCAAACCGCAAAACAATACTCTGCGAAAAGCCTGTGAGGCCAAGATCGAGTTAATTATTGTTCTCGTTTAAAAGTCATCATCATTAATCTTGAGCGCGAAGAGTGGTGAAGCAATTCTAGAGTTATAATTACAGCTTGTTAAGACTCAATGCACGCTTGTGGTTTTTCCTTCACCACGATAAGTTTCCTTGAATCTTGGAGTTTAACTGTTGAACATCTTCAGTTATAATATGTTGTTTTGAACGTCTAAGAAAGATTTAAGGTAATGTGAAGAAAGTATGCCTTATGTTAAAAAGTATCTTATTAATATCTCATCCCTATAATTTTCTTGAAAAATTATTCTCAATTTTTACATTATTTAACGTGTTTAAATTCAATTTTGAAAAATTGTTAGAACTTTTTTTTAAATGTTTGGTTATATACTGTATTAAGCTTCAATGACAGCGACTGATGCATCTTACGCTTTTCAAAAAGTATCTTAAACTTTCATCTCTTCAAGGTCATATTTTTAGATTTTTATTTATAATATAAAAGAAATAAAATGGGTTTTACATAAATATGTATGTATGAAGACATTTCAAATCATAAGTTCGATTAAAAAGTACTATATTCGTATTTTTTAATTTTTTAAATTATGTTGTTTCCCACAAAGAGATTATTTGACAGTCCATATTAATGTACACCAAATTCTAAAATTCACATAGTTTGGACCATGTTTGAAAATGTTTGTTTCCGTTTGACTTTTTCAAGGTTGTTAGTGACCTGAACATTTTGAAAACAGTATTATTGTCATTTTTGTATTATGCTATAAAAAACTGCCAACAATTAGTTGCATTTTTATGAAGTCGAAAAACACCATATCTTAATATTTAAATTGCTACATCTAGTAAGTCGAGTTACAACTATTCTCAGAGGAAAAATCTCAATTTTTTAATCATTATCTATAATATATTAATTTATGTAGGAAGTGGGCTGCTACCTTTAATTCCATTTCAAGAGCGATAGTGTTTATAGCTCTTCCTCTATAAGTTAAGCACACTCAAGCACATAATGCTGTGTTCCATGTTAGTTTTCACAGTCGTAGCATAAAAATAAGAGAATTTATGAAGTGACGCAGCTCTATGTTAGCTACAAATGCTAAAAGTTCCAACACAACTATTATATTTCATGAGAACGTTTACATGTCAATGTTTAATAAAAATATTTGATTTAATTGTTAACTTTCGTCTATGCAATCTCTAAAGAATAAGTAAATGTGCATAAGTATTCGTAGGCTATCACGCTGTTTCTATGGAGCGATCAAAGAAAATGAGCAATGGAGTGTAGGGCGCAGGCGACCTACCGAACATGGCGGCCTCGGAGGGCGCGAAGACGGTGTAGTCGTGGAAGGAGTCGAAGGCGTCGTCCAGCCCGGCGCTGCGCACCAGCGATGCGAACGTCGTCAGCCCGCGCTCATCCAGCAGCTGCAGCACCGACTTTGCTGCAACACCCACCACACCTCTAGCTAGCGATATGTTTGAGGCCGATGCAAAGGAATTACAGAAACAGGGAAAATAGGTATTTATGATACGAGTGGTAAAAGTGATGTTTTACTTTGCGTGTAGGAAGTGTTGCGACATGAGGCCGGTAGGTAGAGAGATGCGATCTCACCAGCAAAGTAAAATCACTTTTATCATGTGTGTCGTGCCCTTATTTTTTAAGACAACCTTACTTTTATTGACTTTTATTTTACTTTAATTGACTTGATTTTATAGACTTCCTTTTATTTTAATTCAAGTATGTAAATCCTAACTACGTACAATGTTACATTAGGATCAGTTGTAGCTGATGCGTCAGACAAAAGTTGTTTTCTTTGTTTCATTAACAGTTTTACCTGAATATTTGAGCATTATATCACTTAGCACTAGTGCTAAAAATTCGAATTTCTATGAAATAGATACACCCCATAAGTTATCATGTTGTTATTTTTCGTTTTGACAAGAAATACCTGAAAAACATTCTAAATTGAGAAATCAAAATGTCACACGGTGTAAAAACCATATAAACGAGTATAAGCAATATGTTTTTACCTTTCAATCAACTTGTCCCAAAAAACATTTATAGTAGAAACAGACTCGATGAATATGTGGGGAATATTTTGAATAAAGGGAGTAAAATTATAAATACAAAGTTGTATTTGAGGAGGTTTCCCGAATGATTCGCTAAAAACGTATGAAAAATGTTCTGGTCTAATATGAATCAACTCTTATTACAATTACAAACTGAAAATCAGTGTTACAATAGTACTATATATACACTACAAAAACAATACACAATATAATAACAAAAATGTTTATTATTTAACAAAAATCTATGATGACCACCTCCAAAATCCGCAGGGTCTGCACTTGACATGTTATTTCTTTCGGTACATGTATTCTCGTTTCAAATTATCCTAGTTCAAAGTTTAGGGTTCAAAGTTATTACTACAAATAAACAACTCTATACATGTTTGGAGTGATAACTGGTAGCAATTTATATATCGTTAATAGTAAAATACAATTGAAAAGTCAGTCCTGTACGTTTGATGTATTTGCTGTATTTTCTCCGGCTTTGCTTTTTTTTTATTCATCACTTCTCCTTTAGACGGGTGGTATATCTGAGTAAAGTGAAATGAGACAGACCCCTAAAATTTATTTGTATATTTCCAAATAATAGATTTTTCCAATTCTACGTAACTTCCATCCACCAGGACTACAGACATCAGTCACTTACAAAATGGGAGTACTGCTGCCTCGCAATACCACGCGCTCAAATGCACAATTGAACAGATCTGTGTAACGTGTAAATTTTGTTTTGGTATGAAATGCCATACACGAAACTCTTGCAATTACAAGAAACACATAATACATTGCCTTATGAGAGGTGATTCAAGGGTTCTTCCTCCTCGGGGAAGTCGGTTTTGGAAGGTCAGTTCTAAAGGTCATCGAGCGCCGAATGTTACATTTATGGAGCGAAATAGAGGGGGCTTCGAGGGAACTAGTTCCGGCATCGATTGGTGGCAAAAGGACAAAGGCCAGAGAAAATTTTACAGATGTAATGAAACCGCTGCTTGAAAGTTATCTCGTACGCATAGTATTTGAAATTGATGGCTTCAAACAAAAAATAAAAAATTACTTTCAGTTGAATGGAACGTATTGATACAATTAGAATATAAATACAATTTATAAGGTGGTTACATTTGGTATATTTACCTGGAAAAACTTTAGTCGCATTACTTTAACACCAGACCTTCAAAAAGGATTTCTCCACATTACGTTTCTTAAGTGATAACTATTATGATAACACATTCAGATTGTCCAGTGAAAAGAAACTGGCCCAATGCTTTGAAATTTGTGATGATAAACGATTGTCAGTCAAATTTAGAACGTTTAGCGCGATGTCTAACGATATACGATCAGAACGATTAAGTAAAAGAAACCCATGATTGAGGACAATCTTAAATTTCTTCTCAAGAGGTTAGTGGGGGGATCTGATATCAGTTTGACCAATTAGGAGATCGTGTGTAATTGATTGTTCATAAATGCATTAATATTGTGTAAGGCTTTTCATAAATACATTATTAATTTAATTATACACAAAAGTGGACCAAGTAGTACAAAAGTGAGTGCATTTTAATTGGGTTGACTTATATTTGTAATATGGTTGATAGCGTCAAAGTTGATTACTATTTTTAAATATGATTTTATGTAAGTAGATTATCCTAACTGTTTTAAAGCGTTATTTTATTCATAAATATCAATGATTTTAGTATACTTTAGTTATTTTAGACATATCAACTTAATGTAATTACATGACTCTCTCGGGCCTCGAGTTACATGAAAAAAGCTACGCAGAGCACTTAGGTTGAGCCCCTCTCCTTTAAAACCCACATCCGTGTCAGTAAATGTTTACGCTAGAATTCTCCATTAAGGGATAATCCTACTCCTAATCCAGTGAGTATTCACATACGAGCACCTGCTCGATGGCGATGTGTAATGTGAGTAAATAGTTAATTTCATTCTACTAATACAAGTTGTGTATTTGGAGACACAATTGTTTTACTCAAGTGAATATTTCTATCAATCCTTCCTTTCTTTAAATATATTCGATATCTGTAGGCTTTATTCACATGATTTAACCAATGATACGACATATAAATGCATGTTCGACCTGTATTTAATCTATGACAAAACCCTTCGGGCAATATATAAAATATTAAACTAGTGGTGTTATAACGGCACATACTCGTACTTTATCGCATTACATAGCACCACATAAATCTGCAAAATTTTGTTTTTAACCAGAAAAACTTGTTTTCACGCTGAGACATTTTCGAAAGATCAGAGAGATCAATGAAAAGCGAGCCACGCCATTATTTTAAGCTGTATACATTTGATAATGACCATACAATAAAGCTCATAATTAAAAATATATTTTTATAAACTTCCGGGGTTTACGCATAACATTCATAACTTCGCTCTCTGTCTCTCTCTCTTTCTCCCTCTCTCTCTCTCTCTCTCTCTCTCTCTCTATCTATCTATATATCTCTATCTATCATCTCCTCGCTCCCCACCTCTCTCTCTTTCTTTTTTCTCTTTCTTTCTCTCTTTCCCCTCCCTCCCTCCTCTCTCTGTCTCTCTTATTAACAAGTGCGCGCGCATTTATTGATAACGGTTCTGCCCGTGCTCGCACTCGCAAATTCAGCTGAGGTCTGCAGCGCTTGAACCGCTCGAGAGCGCTGTTCCCCTCGCCAAAATATTCGAGAAGTTTCCACTATTTTCTTCTCTACTTTTTGTTTCAACTCCTGTATAAACATCTAACGTTTATAGTGCAGGGCTCTCCCCTTGTACCTTACAGATTTAACTAAAAAACGAACTGCTTCCAACATGATTGCGATGACGCGTGGGCCATACGTGGAATAGTGGGACACAAGTAGATGCGCCCGGCGGAAACGATCACGCTGATCACGGCTTCTCATGAAAATTATAGCATTATAAACACTTGATACCTGCATATTTCTACTTCCAAGAAACGTGCAAATTATGTCTTGAGATGTTGGCAAATGTAACGCAAAAGCACAATGGGGAACACTAGCACCTCTAGCCTTGCACCCTATAGTTTTGAACACAGTTTCAAGAGTTTCAATTACCCCTTAGAAACAAAGTAGTGCATTTCTTTACATCGTCTCATTATAACTGCATTTTATGTCCAGTTTTCATGAGAGTTTGAACAATGCGAAATTGTATGTGTTGGGACCAATCTATCCAAAACCAATATTATCACCATTGAAAAAATCATTAAGGCCTTCAGTTGTTATCAGATCTCTACATCTCCCGAATGTTGCCTGAGGGGGTTGTCGGTTGAGAGGGTATTTCAGCGGTTGGGCTACTCTCTTTATCCAGGGAGGGACTCTATCATTAATTGATGGATGAATTAATGTTTTCGGGCACGGAAAGTGTTATGGTCATTACTCCCGTTAGCGTAGTAAATACATCCCGTGTTCCTCCTCTGCTGGATGGGGGTATTAGATGCCAGCCTACGCGTGTCTTACAGGGCCTTCCCTCTCTAGGTATCTTCCCCTGCGGGGCCCCGCCGCAGCCAGGGCAAGATCTACGCTCCCCCCCCCCCTGATCTGCCGACGTGTGTGGTAGTAGGGCTGCCCGGGAGGCTGAGGCAAGCGACTCACCGCGCTCCGGCAGCAGCACGTCGTCCAGCATGTAGAGCGCGCCGTTGGAGGCGAGCACGGGCTCCGCGCGCAGGCGCCGGCCCTCCACCGTGGCGCCGCGCGCGTCGCAGTCGAAGGACAGGCGCTGGCCGTCGAGCGCGCGCACGCGGTGCTCGCCCAGCACGGCCGGCAGGCACAGCGGGTGCGGGATCACGTGGTGCTCCAGCAGCGCTGCAAACACGCGCGCTCCTTAGCAGGGTTGCCACTTTAGGGGATTTCCCCTTAATTTAGTTTTTGGAGGGCCTTTAGCGGATTTTTAGGGGGCATTTTTTTGTGGAGGGTCGTTGAGTTTTTAAATGTTAATTTGTCTAAATTATCTATTGTTTATCACAAAATCATATAACCCAAAAATAGTTCCCTATGAATTATTGCAGCTATATTTATTCAATTATAACTAAGCATAGTAAAAACACTTATAGGCGTGTAAGGTTATTGGAATCAATCCCTCGTTTAAAATTGGGCGGATATTTGTCACAACCAGTCACACAGAAGATTGATAGAAGAAATCAACACGTTTCATAAAAAGGAACGAAGCGCAGAAATAAACAAGTAATGAAAACAATGTTTTTGCTTGAAGAAACGTTTAACAAAGAGGTATCATTATCCATTTTTCAGTCATTACAATCAGAGAGACGAAGATACCTTTTTAGTTTCATAACTCGTACATAGTGTGAAACTTCTTAAAACAAAACCTTTACTATGCCTGCACATTATTATATAAATAGTTCTTGTACGTACTTTTATGCATTACAAATATGGGTGTTTACTGTAAAGTATAAATATCATATGCAACATACAATATCATCATATACAATTAGTCATATTTATCGTATTTCTTTAATTTCCAGATCACTTCATACACGCATCTTTATTTTAAACATGAAGTAATCATTTTTGAAATTGATGTTTCTTTTACATGTTGGTGTTTTCGCGGCGCTTTGTAGTTGGAAATGATTAAGGCAGCACTGACGCGGCGGGCGAAATTCACGTACGGTGGTTTTAGAATAGTCGGCAGGAGAAAAAAGACTCGACAAATTGGAGAGAGGTAAATGCGATGTCTGACATGCTGAGTGACTAATATAAAAATGCTAACTTGGCTTGATTACCTGCGAACTTTTTTTGTTTGTTTCGCGAATCGGCCGTCGTGGTGCCACGCGAAATGTACATCCCATTATCGGGTAGGTGCACGTTACTTTTTCTATTGGGAGGTTCAGTATTTAATGCTGATCCCTTTTTTACACCCCTAGAATGTAAACTCTGGAGAATGAGGTGAAATAATTATGAGGATGATGATAATGAAATAGACACATACAGAGGTAGACAATAATAATAATAATAATAATAATAATAATAATAATAATAATAATAATAATAATAATAATAATATTGAAGTGATAAGGTGATGATAAGGGGTAAAAGGACTAGGATGATGGTTAGTTCATGGGATTTTGGAGCCATCCCAGCATTTGCCTTATGATCTAGAGAAACCATGCAAAAAATCAGCTCAGGATGGCCGGCCCAGGGATCGAACCCTGACCTCCCGATTTTGAATCCAGCGAGCTTCCCACTGAACCTTTTTACTATTACTATTACTATTATTATTATTATTATTATTATTATTATTAATAATAATAATAATAATAATAATAATAATAATAATAATAATAATAATAATAATAATAATGACTGAAAGAACTATTTTGTTTTTCCTGTGTTCATTAGCCAGAGATTGTAAATGTTTATTTATGTGTATCAGTATTGTTGAAAAGCTCTGAGTTGTCTTCCTTGGCTACATATCACTCAAAATATGAGATATTATCTCCTTCTATTGAAGTAATATTTCAATAATATATTTTTTATTATATATTATTCATTGTTTTTTACTCCATCAAGATTATTCTTAACTCATTCGGGGAGGGGGGTATTACGTCGTTCAAACCTCATTGCACTTGGGAGCTTCTCGCTTGTATGTACGAAACAATGCGAGGAGTTCCACTGTAAACCACAAAATAGAAACATTTCAAAAATACGTGCCATGGGAGATCTTGAACAGTTAAGTTTGAACTGACTGAATTCAATGAATTAAGGTCAATAGACTTATAAAAGAAGCAATATCAGTCTGAAAATCAGATGCTCATATGATGGGCATTGTCGGCGCAGAATGTGCCTATTTCAGGGATTTTATAGAATCAATGTAAATGTTAAAACAGCGATGAGGTAATACAATTTATAATATTTTTGAAACCTATTTTTTAACTAAACCAGGAATACGGTTGTTAGTCTGAAATATTGTTTGCAAATATATCGTTCGTATAGAAATTATATTTACATATCACTACATATCATGCTATTTTACTGAAATTCTGGTGAAAGACAATTAGTCACCATTACAGTACAATTGTACTGTACACCAGTACAATTGAGATAATTTAATTTATTCGGTATTGTCGTATAATTAGTTGTCGAGCGTCAGTATCCATTGTGGAGATGAAAATTACGTCTGTCGCGTTTCCCAAAGTGGTGACACCTTCCGTCACGCATACGGCCGCCGATGTCGACGCGCCTCGAAATTAAAGCGCGCGTGTCATCGGTACCTTCATCGATCGGGCGCGGCCCGCTTCTCATCACCGCCGCCTCACTCCACCACCACTCGCACCTCCCCCCGGTCTCCCCTTTTTGTAATATTTATTCATCTTTGTTCCGCCGTAAGGTCTTTCAAAGGTGTTCATGGATTAAATAATATATACAACGTTTGACAAATTAATGTTCATAACTCCAATTTCTATAACAATTGACAAGGAAATTCCAGGAAGAAACCTTTAAATGTTGTTATTTTTCGATGATGCATGAAAGAAAAACTTTCGGAATAATGTAAGAAAGAAGTAGCTAGTTTTAATAAATTTAACTAGCAAATTATGGAGATAATTTCTTGCTTCCCCGCCCCCACCATCATCACTCTTACTGATTACCACTTACATCCTTGTACCTTCCTCAACTAGAAAACTCACAAAGTCCAACAAGACAAAATGAAAATTATACAACTGAAAGTCCTGGTTAATAAAACTTCTAAATTCTCATTAAACTCTACCATCATCTTATAAAATTCTTTCATCAGACCCCTCCTCCTGTAAGCATGCCACATATGAACAGATGTGCGAAATATAATATTCACAAAATGCAAGTCATCCAAAAAAATTCCCAAGATTAATCTTCCGAGCCCCCTGATTTATCTCCAACAAGCAACTGCACATCAAATTAAACATCAGTCCAATTCCTTACCATTTCAGTTTAGATTAAGTTCGATAGTAAGCCTATAATTACATATGTAAAGTTGAAATCTTAATTGAATTTTGTAAGTTCATTCACGAAATAAAATAAAATAATTCGTCCGCCCCCCCCCCCACCCCAGCCACCAACGTCTATGTCACACTGCCGCCCCACGACTGTCCGGCCTATGCCGTCAAGGCGGCCGACTCGAATGCGTGTCATTCATCGTTGAGCCCAATGGGCGCAAATTGGAACGGAGCGCCCTCCCGCTGCCAAAAACTCCGCTGCGACAGCCTAATTAATCGCTGCCGCCGCGCCGCGCCGCGCAGCCTTCGCCTTGGGCCCTGGCGACGCCCCCCTTGACACCACCCCTTGGAAAAAAGCAGCCCGCGCAGATGGCTGCAGCGGCGGTGTCAGCAAACATTGCCTATCGCTGTGTAAGTCGATTTGCTCTAATCACACGTTGCGGCCAAGTTCGTCGTGAAAGATCGCCATCTCATGAGAGTTGCTTCTGGTTAATAAATGAACACCAAAGAGATGATTCGTTTGCGTCGTCAATTGCGTTGATTGCTCGTATCGTGGTATGTAGCGATGACACTCAGACATGTAGTGCTCAATGTACACTTGCACACTGCTTCTATCTTACGCGAACCGATAAAAATGTTTCGAATAAAAGAAGTCCAGATAAGTATATCGTCTATTAGGTTATTCGCTAAAAGAAAAGAGTGGCAAGCCTCTGCCAAAAAGTAAACAGTTGAAAGCGCTTTAAAATACATTCATATACATGTATTTTAATCACCAGCGTCGGTGGTCATGAACCATGAAAATGTAACAATCAAGGAATTTTTTATTTCATTTATTTAGTCAAAAAATAGTAAAAACTCTACGTGACGCATGGTGGGGGGTGTACTGGTGCCGGTGGCTCGCTAGTTTCTATCCCATGCAGTCGCAGGAAGTTTACTTGGTGTGTTTAACATCATTATAATCCTGCAGGAAGAGTGTTCATTAATCGACTTCTCCGATCGGTTAATACCGAGTTTTCTTCAATGGTTTTGAGACGACTCCCGAAATAGCGTCTCCTTCCAAAAAAAGTTATGGAAAACTAGTATGAAGAAAAAAATTACCAGAAGAAAAGAAATGGCATAATGAGGAAAGCGTTTGTTACTTTGTAAAATCTAATTTACATACGTGTTTGCGTTATGATTCACATAATTTAGTCATTTACTACAATGTGGAAGGCGGAGACATGACCTTGACGTATGTCACAAGAGCTGCATCGTGACTCACTCGCGAAGACCTGAACTTTGTCATCCATTAACCTTCTTGTGAGTCATCGAGGGGCAAGAGATCCGGTGAAATGTACCAATATGTAATATATTCTTCATTGGCTAGTAACATTCTCAATATTCTTCATTGGCTAGTAACATTGAGTGGTTTGTCAGAAATATTTCTACTTTTAATACAAGTCATATTTGGATTGTTGAGCACAGGACAAACGTTAGCGAGAAATAGATTTAAAAATAAAACGATTCTTTCGCAAACAAATATTGAACAAAATAACAAGGCAGTATGTATGTGTAAATACACTGTTCTTCCCTGCCGGAAACTAATATCTCAAGTTATTTTCCCTTTTGTCGCACTTCATCATATTTATTAGTTTTCAAATATTATTTCGGATCAAGATTGCCGTAGCTTATTCAGATATAATAATAATAATATAATAATAATAATAATAGTTAAAGGAATAAGACATATCGCACGTCTTGTGTAGGTGAGCGTTAAGTAAAATGTTCACATCTAAACATTTTGGTTTCCTGTGATAAACATTTACATTCGAGAGAACAATACAGCCGCCACTCCTGATCTATATAGAGGATTTGTGTGTTTATGTTCATCAACGTTTTGAATGTTAATAAAATATATATATAATAAAATATAAAAGATTGTATTAACAGCTTAATAGTACCTTCTAGACTGTGGAATAATGGGAAGCGAGGATCACATTCCAGTGAGACAGGATGGTGAAAGAAGAATCGCATTCAACCGTAGCCTATTATTTAAAAACCTCTACAATTCTCAGTCAAAAAAAGCGACGGGATGGTAGGTATAGCAAGTTCCCCCGGCCCCAACGCATTCATTTGTAACTCAAATTAACTGCTGCAATGCTTATTATTCGTAATCAAAGATTTAAAGAGAAAGGGATTCGTATTGTTTTAAGGCATTTTTCACTCGAAAAATGAGAAAAATATCCAATTTGTTGTTTTTTTTTCTTGAAAAAATTTCTAGACTTTTTTCAACATTTTGATACATTTTTTATTGCAAAATTGTTTTTTTATTATTTTATTGCGTTTTGAATGTGTATCGGCGCAGTCAGATTTAGAAGTTCCTTAGTTTTACATAAACGGACTATTGACCCTCGAAGGCTGTGGTTTTCATAGTTTCATATTATCTTCTTTATCTGTATTATTTAGCGAGATGTTCTGCGTTTTTAAAGATAAGTGTGTTTTTTTTCTCTTGGGATAAATGGTGTGATAGCCTGGTGTGAAAAAGAAATGGCAACTAATGACAAAACCGAAAGGTGTTTTAAATAGATTGTGAAAAGGGGAAATAAAATTGAGTACCTCTGCGCGCGCCCTCGTCGTCCAGAATGCGCTGGAGGCGCGCGGCCGAGAGCTTCTGGAAGGCTTCGTCGGAGGGCGCGAGCAGCGTGCAGGGCCGCTCGGGGCTGCGCAGGCGGCCGGCGAAGTCGGCGCGCTCGATGGTCCTGGCGAGCGCCGAGAAGCGGCCGTCCGTCGCCACCAGCTGCGCCAGGTCGAGCGGCGCGGGCGCCGACGCGAACGCCGGGTCCAGCACGTTCTCCAGCAGGTGCACCACGCCGTCGCTCGCCGGCACGTCGCGACGCACCAGGCGCGCGCAGTTGGCCGTCTGCACCTGCGCGCGCCAACCCATCTACGTTAGACGCCTCCTCCCCCCCCTCCCCCCCCGTGGGTGCGAAAATTCACGTCCGTTTGATTTCAAGAGCTGCACGGGGAAAACATTCGGATATTTCTGTGTTAGCGATTTTATTCATAATTTATAAGATCATTTAATGTTTCTGGGCATGCCAACTGCTGTGGTCATTAGGCTTGTAAGTAAAGTACATGTTTTATCATGGGGAATGACGGTGTTAGGGAGAGGCTTAGTATCCATCGGAGTCTGAAGATGAAATCAACCGGCCGCTACAATTTTAATCCACGCAACTGGTGAATTCGACCTAGCTATTTCGCTAGTCTCGAAAATCCACCACCGTCAGAACTGTAACCCTAGGCCCTTTCGGTGAGAGTCACTGCAGAGACACCGGCAATGCAGGATGTGAGGTAAACTCAGTCAGTTATTATCCTCAAGCTTAATTTAAAAGTTAAATTTTATTTAATTTTCCTTTGAATGAAAGAATGTGATCCCTATATGTGTTATTACATATTGTTTGTGTTCATTCACTAGCATTTACGGCATAGATTAATTAAATAAATAATTATTTAATGGTACGCTTATCAGCAGTCAATTGTTTTCTTCTAAAGGCTGTGTTTTAATAATCGATAGGGATGAGTACATCAATAGATGCAAGTCCTCGTTGCTTGATGACACGTATATTGTTTACAATTCGTCAAGGTTGAGTTTCAGGAGTAATAATTGCATTTTGCTACTGACTGTGTTTGCATGTATTTGTTTTCATTCTATATTTTGTAGAAAACATTTCGAAAATGGGTTTTGATCGATTTTACAGAAGCAGTAAAGTTTTGCAGAGGTTACGTCACGTTCCAAATGTCCACGCAGATGTCATGAGAGTGAAGTAATTTCGTTTACTGTTGTGTCTTTGTGTCTTAATCTACAAAATATCAATTTTGTTCTTGTTTGTACTTTCCATGTGAGATAAATTCTGCAAACTAGTTTACTCTGTGTTGGTTAAAAGGACAAAAAAGTTTGCCTTCTAGCAATGTATGAAAAGAAATGAAACAATTGTTTATAAGGGGAGATAGAACATCAAAAAACATCAGAAATAATATCCGTCAAAATCATTATTCTGTGTAATTCGTTGTTTATATTTTATTGCCATCTGGGCATGGGCCGCATGTGTGTAAGTGTTAACGTATCAAACATAATAAATTTTGCTCCATAATATCTAGTCATCTTGCATATAAATGTGAATGAATACAGCAATGCAAAAATAAGCATTAAATAAGAAAAGTTTGCTCTTTCGTCTTCTTATTTGAGAATTTGATTTGTGAACATTGGTGTAGGCAAAGTATTTTACATTTATCTCTTGTCTTACCGTCAAATTTTGACGGGTTCTCACTAGTTATTATAATATTCGATTGATGATCAAACTCGGCCTAATAGTGATGTTTGATGATTCTCAAATTAGGTACTGTTTTAAATGATTAATTGGTTTGTGATTTCGGGCGCGTCAACTTTAAGGCCAATATTCTGGTAAGTGTGGTGCATTTTTCAAGGTAAGTGACTTATATTCCCCCACTAGATGGCGATCTAGTGCCGACTTACCGCCGCTAGCGGGGATTTCCATAACCAGGTATCTCCCGCCAACGGGGCACCGCCCCAGCCGGGACAAGCTCTAAGCTCTCGACCGGTCTCTCGGCATGTGTGGCAGTGTAGTGCTTGTAAGTGAAAATGTGTAAGTAAGGGGTGAGAGTAGGTCAAGGAATGGGAAAGAAAGATCACGCATGGTCCGTGGCCGTTTCGGTAGGGTACTGCTCCTACATTTGTGTAATGTTGATCCTAGACACCCTGAAAAATACCGCTCAAAGAAGCCGACCACTAGAATTCTCCTCCAGACAGTGACAGAACTCGACCTAGCTACCTGGCTAGTGTTGAAAATCCTGCCACTGTCGGGACTCGAACTTCGGTCAGAGGCAGTCTAGTGACTTCAGTTGATGCTCTGAGTCAAATTGCGTTTTGTAATAAGATATCTTACTGTAACGTCGTGTGTAACTAATGAAGCCATTCATTTGAAAAATGGTGGATCTGGCGCTGGCAAAGCAGTGTGTGCGCGTACCCCGCTGGAGTACTTGTTGAGGCGCAGCTGCCGGCCGGCGAGGCGCGTGTCCTGCAGGTGGTCGGAGGGCAGGCCCGAGGTGAGGACGCGTCCGTCCGTCAGGTGGTACTGCAGCAGGGGCCGCGTCGTCGGGTCCTCCGCCTGCTCCAGGCGGCTGAGGCGCTCGCGCGGCAGCTCCTGCGCACGCGCCCACGCGCCACGCACAAGGTTGGCAACCTAATCGATCTATACAGAATGTCTCGGAATACTTGTTACAACGTCCAGTGTATATGGGGAGATGAAGATGATCACTGTTTGCAAATGAACATGGGATAGGTAAACTTCATATAACGCAGACACTTGTAGCAATTGTCCCCTGATTATTAGGCAACTTCCCATGCACTTGGATACAGCAGGTCACATTCTAACGCAAAGGCATTTTGTCTTCAAAATTGAGGACTTGCATAACAGGCAACAGAGAGCAAATTTCACATATGTAACTTCCTTAAATGAAATTACCGAACACATGTTCAGTGGTTAAAAGACAACTTCAACTCATCTACATGCCATAGAAAAGTTGTAACATTTATTCTGAGACATCACGCATTAGGCACAATCTCCAGATACTCATCGCATCATACTTATTCCAATATTTACATTAAAATATCCTAACCATATTTACATCACGGTTTCCCTCCCCCCCTTTTACTGTAGGGAGGAAGCATATTGGAATCGATTCACCCAACCAACTCGATTTTTTATCGCAAAATTCATGATTGGGTTGTTTTGAACCTCTACGTCGCACAAGTCAGAATTGAGGTGTATTATAGTGATGGTCCAAAGATGATTATAATCAACTATTAGTGAGGTTTCAAAAATAGTTTGGTTGATGTAGGTAGCGCATGCACTTTCGTACCGAAAAATCGGTATGTCTGCCTGTGAGTAAGTAAGATATGATTATGTCGTCACCGATTTTATTAACGATTTCAATTTTTGAGGTATCTAATATGATATTGTGCCCATGTGACATTTTTATTTTTTTAGAAATGGCTGCAATTATTTCCTTTTTTTCGACTAGAATATAGGAAAGTACATTTATAAATATGGTATACTTTTTCATTAAAACCTCTGGAATTCTGAAAATTACATATGTTTAAAAAGTTAACGAACCTCTCTTTCACGTTTCATATTAAAGACAATGAATTATTTTTCGATGTAAATTGTCCCTCGATTAGAGATATTTTACTATAATGTATTTTTTAATACGAGCAGTTTTGAAAAATTTTGAAGGAAATGGTGCATTTTTCAAAAATATATGTAAATAAGAAGAGCAAAAGTCGTGATGTGGTTAGTATTTTCACTGGTTTTAAAAACTAAACTATCCTTCTTCAAAAAATATTGATGGTAGGGGGTTGAATTTTGAAATATCTCTGAAATGTCTCTATTTTCTCTTAAAATGACGTGATGATATATAAGGATATATTTTAATTTCATGAATTGTAATTTAAGTTAATAAGAATTTAGTGTCAAAAAAATAGAGGGAGTAATTATTTCCATTAGTGGCACCAACACGCGCAAAGACAATCTTGCTGATAAGGACACCATCATCCTAATTATTTTTGTGTCATCTTAAACGATTACTACGATTTTCTAACACATTCATTTCGTTACAATTTAGTTTAGGTGATAAAATAATACGTGAGATATTTTCATCTACATTATCTAGTGTAAACTCTAATGAAATTACGTTTCGGGAGGTTTTTTTTTGGCGAGTTTGTTATTATGTTTCTGGCTATATCTAATTTGTATATCAAGGAAATACGCGTAAGTCCACCTTATAAGAGTGTGACCATTTTAAATGCTGAGATATTTTATAGTGTTTGAACAGCCGCTATAACTTCGAAATCAACCACGCTTACAATAGTGAACTTAAGGTCTCCACTCCATGTCTTCAAAATAATAGTTTCTGTCTAGGCAGAAGAACTCACTTCATCAGTTTGATTAAAGACTATCCAAACAGTTTGGCGAAAACCCGAAAATTGTCTTTGTTAATTCCATCCTTCAAAAATTATGTTGTTATTATGTTGTTAATTTTATCCTTTAAAAATTAATGAAAATTATCTTTTCCTTATTTTCATTCCTTGTGGGAATTGGCAATGCAAACGTTATTAGATGTAATCATTATTGCGTGGGTCTCTTTCTTTATGCACCCACTTAGATCAACGTCTGTTTGATGGCGTTATGACGCATGGCATCCGCGATCAGGGCCAACGAGGGTGCCCCTCGCGAATTAAACCACTGACAGCTGCCTATCAACGCTGCTATTCCCACCCCACGCGCAGAAGCACTGCCGGTGGTAATTTTAGCGCATACCAGTGCAGCTTAACGTGTGCGCAATGGGTGAGGAAAGCGAGTCGGAGCTGCGTACAAGAAAGGCCGCCCGAAAGTAGCTCAACCGGTGGCGCGAGTCAAGTAGTTCTTTATATTTTGCGGTTGCCGAGAGAAACCCATAAGCGGGCGCGTGATTAGCAAAGACATTGACCGTGACGAGAGTTGTTGAACCACATGAGCGGCGTGCCCGATTTGTACAGTGATCGCGCAGCTGATAATGTGCAGAGTTACCGGCAGGTGGGGTGCAACAAGAAACATCAGTGTTGTACACAGATGTCGAGGTGTAGAACACATTATTTTGTACATAAACCAGATGTTAACTCGTAAATACGTGTCGTAACTGTTATTAACCTTCATGTTACTAAATGGTTCATATCGTACTCGTTTCGAAACTCTTACTATTTTACTGGTAGCAACCGTGTAACTTCAAAAACCGTTCCTGACATGATAAAAGCATGAGATAGTTGACAAGATTTTGTTCGTATTTACTTTTTTGAAATAACGCTGAAGTCAATGATTTTACTTGTACATATACGCAGTGTTAAGAACACTATGTCTCTGTTGTCTCATTCCATTTCGTATCTAAACAATGAATTCTGCCTCGTATTTTTGTGAATCTCCAATTATTTGCGTTATACTGTATGTTCTGTAATACATAACAAATATACATGTATAATAGTACAATATATAATACATTATAATATAATGTTAGTACATATTGTATATTATATAATATTAACTTTCTATGCGGTATGTACAGATGATTCAGAATAAATTTTACATGTACACGAATTCTCAGAGGACGATCTTCCTTCTGGCAATGACAATATTGAAGATTTTATCTTTATTGTTCAGCTTTTTCTCCATAAGAGTGTGTATTGCCGTTACCGTGCATTCATCAAATCTCGTGACAGTGACTTCAAGTAGTTCGAATTTCAGTATTCAAAGCTGAGCAATAACGGTAAGCAAGGCACTATTGCTATTGCCAGTGCAGGATAACTTCCATACCAGCCATGAGTTCATTCAGAGCATAGATATGTCTCAGAATAAATCTTAACAACTTCTATGTAGGATGGTTGAAGGTGACGACTTTTGCAAGGAGTGTGTGACGGAAAATTTCACATAAATAAGTTAAGTTTGTGACATTTTGCCCCTTATTGGAGCAACTCATTAGGTACTAATGATTAGCTGCTAGTCATTCGGACGCAGTCCTAGAGATATCGTGTACTTGCCAATATAATAAACACAAAATACACGGCCGAGTGTGTGTGTGAGTGAGAGAGACAGGGGGGGGGGTACTCACGTCGAAGGCGGAGTCGAGCGGCGCGAAGAGGGTGACTGCGTTGGAGGCGGTGAGGCCGCGGTGCAGCCCCGAGCGCTCCAGCAGCCGCACGAAGCGGGCGGCGCCCAGCCGCCGCGCCGTCTCCAGCACGCCCGTCAGCGGCATCGCTGCCACCAGAACACAGACTTGGCTCGCACGGATTTTCGTTGATTGATCAGTGATTCCGGGAGAGTTAACTGCCAAGGTCATTGTTCATGTTAGGTTTAAGTGATATCCTGGGGGATGGCAGTGTTCCTCTCCCGCTGAGTGGTGAGATCCAGTGCCAACCTGCACGTTGGCTTGCAAACTCAGACCTCCAGGTATCTATTTTAGCCGGATCAAGCTCTAACTGCCAGACAGGTCTTCCGACATCTGTGCTTACGTAGTGTACGTTTATGTGTCTGGGTGGTGTGTGAATAGGGGAGGTGAGAGGAGAGGACGAGTATGAGTAAGGACAGATCCTTGCGCGATCCATGACCCGTTTGTTAGGGTGCTGATCCTACATTTGCCTTATATTGATCGGAGAAACCACGGAAAACTACTGATCAGAGAATTCTCCTCCAGACAGAGGCTGAATTTGGAGTAGCTGTTTAACTAGCATCAAAAATCCGCCACCGTCGAGACTCAAACTCCTAGGTCTTCCCAGTCATATTCGCTGCATAGACAACGGTAATGCTGTCTCGAAGCCAACTCAGCTGGTAAGATAGTGCTATAGTGTGGTGTGACAAAGCAGTTGTGCACTGCCCAGCACTTGCACCAACGTTAGGCAGTGTCCATAGTCAGCTGAACATACGAGACATACTTCCGTACAGGCCCACTACGCAGCGAACCTCCAAAATTGGAATGAACTTTAGATTTATGGGTTACTAGCTTCGGACGACGACCCTAATGTCGCATCAAGACATTTACAAGAACATCTCATAATGATTGAAGATTGGGCCAAAAAGTGGAAAATAAAAATCAACGAAAAGCACCTTCAATTTCAAATAAGAAAACTATACTAGATACTAGGATACCACTCAAAATTATCACTGGAAAATAAACTGTTGATATATAAAGCTATCATAATCCCAATATGGACCTACGGCATCCAAATCTGGGGCACAGCAAGCAAGAGTAATCTCTCGATCATCCAGAGATTTCAATCCAAGACCTTAAGAATGATCGCGGCAGCACCATGGTTCATCACAAATGCAGCACTGCACAAGAACTTAAAAATGCCCACTGTCTTGGAAAGAATAGAATTTATCAGCTCAAACTATCTCCAGCGCCTTGAAAACCATCCAAACCACTTAGCCCTCAACATCCTAGACAATAGTGCAGACATCCATCGACTAACCAGAACCTCATCCCTACAACTCCCATATAGATTCTCAACAAATAACTGAAACATTACCCTCAGCTACTAAACTATCCCACTTGCAGTAACCCAAAATAATACTTGCTTTTTGTTATAGTATGAAAACGTAGATGAAGAGTACCGATGGGATACCTTCACTGGAAATCAATCAATGTCAGAATAATTCTACAACATCGTATTTACTTATTATTTTGTAAAAAAATAGATTGTAAATTTTTTGTTATAAATAAAAAAGATTTATGGGTTATATCCACTGGAAGCTAAATATCGCAAGTCTTAATAGGATAAAGAATGGTTTCAAAATTCCGAATATTTCAACTTTATTGTGCTAAATTACTGTGTACATAAAAAACTGTAAAATAGTTATTCCCTTTGTGTCAACATAGAGAAGATAATAACTTATTTTATAGAACCCTATGATGGAAACCTTGATGATGACTCTGGAAAAACACAAATAGAGTACACTAAAGGGAAAAAAGCTGAGAACTCGGCCTAAATCCCTGCGCCTATGACTCAGATCAAACGGATAAATGCCAAGAGATGTTTTAAAAGCAATGGTGAATGTAAAACTGAAATACCTCCTCAACGCCTTTAGTATTAACATGCTCTGACAAATAAGATAGCCGAATAGCTTAGCACAATGTTCACAATTTTCGAACAATTGTATATCTAATAAACATTTGAAACAAAAATACTTTGTATATGGTATTATTTTATGCGGGTTGACACTTTGTTCTTTCATTTATATTAGTGATATTATATTAAAAATATAATTTAATATTTTACAAATGAATGTTCCATAAAATTAAGCGTTTCGAATGAGTTCTTTATCACACGTGCATTCTGCGAGCAACTTCTAATGAAAAGTAATCCCTAGACAATTTAAATGTAAATATTTGCAGATCTGCAGGCGTGCTGGTTCTGTCGTTCCACACAGGGTGCCAAAACAGTCATGGACGTGTGTATTTATTAAATATTCAGTTAAAAATACAAATTCATAAGAACGCTAATTGTGTAATAATGGGTTAAAGGCGCTAAGTAATATTTTATTTTATTTTGCTTACATTGTGTTACTCCATAATTTGTTCCAAGCTATCTATTGCATTTTTTTATATTATAAAAACATCTAGAAGGTTGTCCCAGATCATTTTATCAACATAATTTTACAACAAAAGTTTCAGTTTTGAATTTGTTGATAATCAGAATGGTTTTAAAATAGTTTTTAATATTAATTTGTCAATAAAAACGCATAATGTTCTATTGTTTTGAAACCGTAACAAATAATACTTTCATTGAAGAGAATTTTATTTTTAAAATCTAACAATGTGAGAATTCAGGTATAGAGTAATGACGATAAATTATAAATACCATTTTAAATAACTTATTTTTATTAGATATAATTTCGTAACTAAATAAGTATTTACTCTTAGAACTAATTTCGTAAGTAAATAAGTATTTACTTTATTTATCATTTACTTAATGGCGGTTTCGGAATATGCCAGAATTGTGAGAATTTTCACCTCAACAGCATTTGATGTAACAAAGACACATTTACAATTTACACGGGCGCCTGGAGAGACTCACGCTGGGCAACCTACAACAGATCTCCTGCACTTGCGGACAGCTTATCTAAACACAAGTGTCACGCTTTTATTTCACGTTTCGTTGGCGCGGTCGCCTCTCGCCGCCAGGCAGCGCTCGCCGGCGCGCGCAGCGTCTCGGCAAAAAGCAGAATGAGCAGGCGCGCATCACTCACCGCCCGCGCAGCCCGGCTCGCCCGGCAGCTGCTCGAAGCCCTCGCAGCATTCGTAGCGCGGCACCCTGCAACGTACACACGCGCGATGGCTCCCGTATTCAAGCAGGAAGTAAACATATCGACCTTAACACTCGGTAGTAGTGCAACAAATAAAATATAATCAGACAACTTGTATTATTGAAGAAACAATACACTCGGAAGGCAAAGTTCAGTGATGCTCATTAATTAACTCGAACAAACGGAGGAAAAAAATAAGATGTCTGAAGAGAAAACAATCGACAGTAATACGAACAAAAATGTATAAGAATGATATTCCAGTTGGGTAGAAATTAAGTTGCTTGTATGTTTACTTCGAATCATTCAGAAAAAAACAAAAAAAACCGGCGAGTTGCGTGAAGAGCACGCCCAGAGACCGCTGTACTCACGCGGTCTGCCCGCAGATGTCTCGCTGGCGCCAGTACTTGCAGTCGGAGTAGAAGCGCCGGCCGCCGGCTTCCTCCACCACGCACGCGTTGGGCCTGCGCAAGCGGAAGGGGCCGGTGATCAGCTGCGCCTCCTGCTCCTCCTCCCCACCCGCCCACGCCGCCATGCATTCAGGGGACGGTACCTGAGAGCGGCCTCGGCTTTTCGACGGCGCCTCATATTGGTCCTGCCCCCCCCACACACACACATACACTTCACTTCGTCCCCCAGAGCAATCAGTTGCCCGAGAGTGTCCCTCTGGGATGGAATATCCAAGTGTATTATATTTTTCAAAAATATGGTTTCACTTGCAAACATTATAGTTATATGCAATTATTAAATATTGCACGTTTTTACTGTCTTGCTACGGAGTGGCGAGAAATTGATGTAATGCTGCGCGAAAAAACGACGCATTTTCCACAGAAAAACTCTTTATAACAGGGTCATGGGAACGAAAAAAGTGGATAAATCCTGTTACTTAAGTTAGAAAAAATATATCCTTTAACACATGGTAAAGTCAAAATCGAAGTTTTGTGTGTTCTTCATAACGAAAAATCGAATGACGGCAAAACGTCTCACTGTCCGTCCGTCTGTGAACAACGCTAGCGCCTAAACCGTTCAGACAATTTCCTCCAAAACTGATCGTCTCCAATAGGTTTGACTGAGTTCGCGGCTTCTTAAATTTGAATCCAATATTTTAATTTCGTAGGTACTTTACATCTTCAGAATTTTCAAAAAAATTGCTCCATCCTTTTTCATTAAATTTGGTGGTGGATAGCTAGAAGAACGTTTAAGAGAATGGTGGAAGTCTCATGTTCGATGAAAATCCTGATTTTTCAAAAATTGCAAAAGTTTATATTGTTTTCGCAGTCTTCTTACAACTAAAATATTAAAGAAATATTTTCCTTTAATGAAATATTTTTCTTCCAGATAGATTTTTAAATATAATAATGCACACGTTTTCGAAAATTTGAGTATATTTCGCAAAATTTTGAGTGAAAATACGGGCCAGAAAGTACGTGCCGTTTTAGGACCTCTAGTTTCTTCGTCAGATACAAGCTATATTTTGATCCTGTTTTTTTAACGTTACTTATAATAATAACATAATTAAAATTCAGGACTTACTCTCTCATACTTTCCACTCATTATTTTACTTTCCACTATTATTCCCAATGTTCAGAGCATTCCGTCTTAACCTTCCACATAGAAACCGGTTATAGTGGCCGGTTAAGAGGGAGTGTAATGTTCTTCAAAGTATTTGTGTATATAACGGCATCACCGCCATAATGCGTCATATATTCGATAAATTGTATCGAATTTTATAAATAAGTATCTACCTGTTACTTTAAGCATATGCATGCCTTCGACTTAAAGCATGCACTACATTACGAAATTTTGTAATTGATGTCTTGCTTCACAGAAATTCTTAATCTTGTCTGACGAGTCTTTATAACTATTTTTATTGCAGCACCCACGACCTGAGAAGAGAAAGGTATCCAGGAGAAGTATATTGGGCAATTAAGCATTACAAGATTTTCTATCTCAATCTCTAGGCTAGCCTGGGCAAGTGTTGACTATCTGGAACACTCGACCACTCGCAGCTAACATAGACTTTTGTTTTGATATCTCTTATTCATCTTATACATATCTTGTATCGTAAGTACCAAACAATAAATGTGGCAATGTATTGTAAGTAGTTTCAAAACTCTCTGCTTGATAAGAATAAGAATATGAATATAAACCTAACGCAATAATGCGAGACAAGATAGAAATTCGACGTAAATTTTCTCTTTTAAATATGAAACTTTGAATGAAAAAAAATATTCTTACTTAACAGACAAAAAATGTTTTCACATTTACTTTAAAGCTTAATCAATTGACTCTTTTGATCTCTTATTCGTTTGTTCCTATGCTCTTATATGTGTCTGAATTTCTTCTCCCACTTGGTGTGTTATAATAGCTATTGGAATGCTGCTGTCTTCCATCTTAATAGCGAGCTCTTTCCATTGCTTTCTTTATTTTCCCATATACTTGCAAGAAGGGGAGAATATTCAGTACTACTTAATGTAGTACTGAATGTTCGTTTGTAATTTTGTATCTTCTTTCTTTTACTCTTCCCAGGAATTACATTTCGGCGGCTGAAAATATTTCGTTCTATACGTTCATAGCCTCCTCCATGTTCTAGTATAGTGGAAAATCACAATCATAAAAATTTAATATCATGACCTCTCTTACTTTATTTTTAATTTCCATTAATTACTCTACATTCAAATTAAGGGTAACGTTTAATTTAGAGCAGATTGAAACTTATTACATACGGACGACACGTAACATTATGCTTAAATGTAAATCTATAAGCGAAGGTAACATACAAGAGTTGGGGCATAAGTCATGGCAACTATTATTTTTGTGAGAATACGCGAGTGGGCGGAAAATGTGAAATATACACATGAAAGGACAAGGTAGATACTAAGTGCATGGACGTTTAACGACGACACACCAAAATTGTGTTTCTTATGTTTATGAAGGTATTTGAAATGAGAGTACTGGCTTCATTTTTCAAAGCATTTGAAGATACACGAGCTCACAACACTCCAAAAGCATTACAAACCCGTTATAAAGGGCCTATTAGGCAGATTACCGCACATGCCACATTGCCGCATTGATATTTTTGGGCATTTCTCTCAGGTAGAACGGCTATCTTCGAGTACGCGGCCTGCTCAAAACATGTCACATTTATCTCGCACGGCGGTAGTCGGACAACTGATTTCACTTTGCTCTCTGCGCTCATAGAGACACACACATTATCTGTTAATGTGAAAATATCGACCTTCTGCGCATACGTGATCCTCTTTTCTCACGATCAGATGCTCAAAAGTGGTAAAGAGTATCGTGTGATAAGTTATCACAAGGGTGTGCAAATAGGAACAATAAATTAGGATAAATATATAAACAGGACGACAGTAACAATGGGGGACAGTAGAGAAGCAAAGGATCAAATAGTAACTAATATATTCAAGGGAATGGTGACATAATTGATAGCGGGGAAAATAAAGAATATATTGGTAAATAAAACATTGAAAGGGCACATGAGCAATTTCCATGAGTGAGAAATTAAATTGGGAAGATTATTACGAATCGATAATCACAGAATAAACAAATGAAGTGCTAGTGTGCCATTGACCAATCAGAAAACACAATATGTGCGAGAAAGGGAATGGCCTGCGCACTAGGGCGAAGAAGAAACGTATTTGGATTCGATCTCCCGCAGGAAAGGAGACAGCTGAAGAGCGCGCAAGACAAACAAACGGGGAGACGATATTCCGATACGGCGAGGTGCGGGCTCTGATGATATTTTGACGTGGTGGGGTGCGAATCCAGATGATGTTCTGGTGTATTCGGATGCAGAGATGTGTTTACGAGTTGGTAACGCTTTATAAACCAATAACTAGTACGGAAAACTTCCAAACAAAGATGGAATTAAAATCGCGGGTGTTGAGGAAGTAGATGCCATTGGTCTGGACCAGATTCAACAAAAGTGGAACTAGGAATGTTTACTGGATGAGGGCAAGAGGGCAGAGCCCACTCGAAAGGAAAGTTACTAAAAGGGAGACATTAAAATATCTATTGTAGAAAGATCAAGTTTTAGAGTATATTAAGAATTCTAGATTAAGTTTTAAAAAAAAGCATGGCCATGCATGTAAGGGGAAGGATCTAGAACAGAACAGTATACAATTATAATGAAGATTTCAAAATAAAATTTTTGAAATTGGTGTGTTTATCATATGCAATGTAATAGGTTTATAAGCACGTTTACAGGAGAATATGGATGGCAATGTTGTTAACCTGAAGTAAGCATTGTTATTCCTGGGTTTCCAATCTCACGTAAGGAAGAAACACAATTAATTTATGTAATTTTTCAATAACCAAATATCTGTAAAGACGGTCTATACAACCCAGTAATGAATTTTATCATGACTGGACAGCTTTAGTATACCCTTTAGGCTATTGTCAGGTGAAATATTATATGAAAAATAACGCAGAATAAGGAAATAAGAAGGTCCCTGGAAAATGGGGATGCCGCCTCGCAGGTTACATTACTATCTTCTGCGCATGCGCAGTTCAAGTTTCACGCCACTTCAGTGCATCATGCGCAGAAGATCGATATTGCTGTCGCTTTGGCGTGCACAAACTTTCTAAATACTCCCGTCAGAATCGAGAGAATAATTGCTGTCGATTGCCGCAGGCTCCGCCGTCCTCAAAGTCGGTGTTTGTTTTGAATGAGTCTAGTAGTCGGTCGCCCGCGCGAGTGCAAGCGCGTGGTCGTGGGCTTGGGCGTGGGCGTGGGCGTGGGCGTGGGCGGCGCCTGTGAGCGGTCGTTGCCTCGGGTTCCGCTTCCGTCGATAGCCGCTTCCTGCGGCGGCCCGGCCTTCGCGAGCGCATCCTCGCCGCCACGCGGACTGCCTGCGTCGCGATTCTGGTCGCGCTTCCCCCGCCTGCGCCACTTCTGCTGCGCTGCCCTACCTCCAAGCACTCTTTCCGGCTGCTGTGCTATCCGAGTTCACGTTTCATGAATGATTGAATTCCAGTGCGAATTCATTGTGGACACCGTACTACAAGTGCCTGCCCCGTGGGTACCTCAGTTCAAATCCAGGCCCTTGGGGTGGAATTTTGTGAACCAAACAGGAGCAAAGCAGATTCCTTCGTGGGTCTCCCGCTTATTTTGCCTTTCAATTCACTACTGCTCCATCTTTCATCTCATTACTTACATTCGCCATTCTGGCGAAAGTTTAGAGCTAATAATGATGTTTAAGAGTTTGCTTGAAATTAAAAGCAACAGAGTTTAACAATACTTGGATATGTCTCATTTAGTGCATTATATAAAAATATATTTTTTAGTATGATATAACTTTTTCTATCAGTGGTTTTTTACCAGTTCTCCTTAGAGGCAGTGACATCAGTCATACTCGTATGAGGGTGCGTACGTAAAGTATATGTAAAGTAAGCACCAATAATAAAATTGTTATTTGGTTCATTCTGAAACTCTTCTGAAGTT